AACTTGGTACTTCGCACACAACTTTGAAAACGCCCGAGATGCCATCTCCACCTTCCACCAGCGATAGTCAGGCAAGCCCGGCCCAGGTGGCAATCACGTTCAACCAAGACATAGGCGAGGGAAAGACTCCCGCGCCGTTGCAGCAACACGAGGGCTGGGGCGATAGCCCCCGCCAAACCACACCCACCAGCCCCGAATACTCATTCCTGGGGCCAACCGACGAAGAACTCAAGGAAAGAGAAAAACAAGCACAGCATAACACCATGTCATGGACGGTATGCTATGATGACGGTTGCCAAACACATTTTGGCGACAAAGAAAGCTCGGGATGGTTCCCAAGAGAATGTCGAAAGCGTGGCTCACGCCCAGACCACGTCCTGAAGCATTGGCAACAATGCTTCAGAAAGAGGTGCAGGATGCACAGGGTACAGAAATTATCTGCGGGATTCTACCCGCAGAAGGACGGAAGCAGAAAAGAGTTGGAAGGAGAGGATACCAGAAAGGCATGGGCCGCGAGGACGCGGTCCAAGGAGGGAGGGACCCAAAACTCCTCCACAGACACAGAACCGGATGTCAGGAGCCTACACAGGCAGATCCGGGGACTCTGAGAACAACTGGGCCAAGCCGAGGCCACAATTTCGGCAAACGACAAAACGATCGCGGAGCTTAGACAGCTGAACGACAATCAGCAGCACACGATCGAGATGGCGAATCTGACTCTGGAATCGGTAAGGGTCAGATGGAGGATAGCAGACGAAAAGTTCCACAAGCTGAGAAGGACCATGCGCTCGGCAGGACGGGAACTATTGAAACTGGGAGAAAAGGCCTGATGGGACTCAGGCTTAGGAGGAGGAGAGCTAATGTCACGAACGTGGCTTAGTGAGGAAAGGGTTTTCACATGACACATAGTTATGAGTCACAGGTACGTTATTGTTTCACACATATGACTCATTCGGGTCATATGATTTGTTATATGTGGGATTTGTGATGCTTTCGCACATGGCTCAAATATGAGTCATGGGACGTGCACAGGGCAAGTGTGCCTTGCGAGTGTACCTTGTGAGTATGCCTTGCGGGTAAGCCTTATGCATATGATTTATGTTTCGCACATATGACTCGGTCGAGTCATATGATTGGTTTATTGCGTTATGATTAGTTTATGAGTTTTTTGCACATGACCTCGCTATAAGGTCATGGGGTTTGAACATGTGACCATGTTGGTCACATGATTTGTTTGTTATGATTTTGTTTCGCACATGTGACCACTTTAGGTCACATGACTATGGGCGGAAGAACACTATATAAGGAGGCTGATGCGGCCGAGGAGGATAGGTTCTTCACACTTTGTTCTAAGTACTTTTCCTACTTATTACTTTAACAAATATAAAACACCTTTACGATCTTTATCTTTACTGCAACATTATTGTTACGCCGAGGAAGGTTCTTCACGAAGACGAGTTAGAGAAAGCTTACGATAGACGTTCCCGATAGAAGACAAAGGTCTTGTACTATGGGTAACGTAGGCAAAGGCCTAGAGCTATCGTAAGATAAAGGAAGAAAGAGACCGAAACGAGAGGTATCGTTCCCCGTCGTCAAGAACTAACTATCCAGAGAGGGATCGTTACAGGTTGCTCTAGGTAACAGGGTTTCAATCACTGTTGTAGTATTGAAAGTTATCCCTATAACTACAATGAATTCTGAAACCTAGTTTCAATACTCTGTGAAGTCCATTAGCTTCTATGATAGTGTCCCTCAGAGTTCTAGACTCTTCCTGATATTGTAGGATAGATATGAATATATTTGTCTCTTGTTGAGATCCTTTACCATTTAATACCATATCTTCATATGAAAATGTCCTGTTACCTACGGCCTATACCAAAGATATTATATCTTTAAAGCCTAGTAACCTTTTGAGTAGTTGACGGACTTACTCTGTTCCACTTCTTAGACCTAGCCGAATATCCCCTCTCATATATCCTGTGAACAGGACTCAGGGGGACAGACAGCAGCAACATATACAGTGTTATTCTGACACCTTCAATTCTGTGGTATTATAGTCACAGGACACAACTGAGATTGATATGTATGTTGACAGGCAGGCCCTATAAGGAGGCCAGAGAGGAGTGTTGGAAACCAGGGATTCTGATTCCGGGTGAGGTTACCCTACTTAGGGTGACTCCTAGGTATCAGATCCCGGTATTCCTAACAGTACAGTAGACAAAGACGAATAACTGCAAGCTTTTCATCTTTCGTTTGACAAACCTGCTTGTCCTGACCTCAAGCTCCAGTTGGCTAAGCCCCAGAAAGATTGGAAGTGTTGGGTAGTACAAAGATACTTCCCGCGTTCTGGCCTGTATTCTGTGACATTGTGGGATGATGAGATGGTATCAACCAGCGATAGTCTGATGTAAACAAACCACTTTAAGAAATTTTCTTAATTAAGAACATTTCTTAACTCTACTTTTACTACTTGCCACACTACGCTACATCCTCTTATTAGTGTGGTCATAATTCCTGCCGTTGCAGTGGAGATAGTAAAAGTGTCGTAATTAAGAAAAATAGCGGAACCTCCCTATTAAGCTAATCTTTCTACTAATAGAATTATTTTATTGATATCTGGTGTGGTGAACCAGCCTTCGGCTAATAAAATTTACCGATTTTTTGCAGCAAACTTGGTTCGGTTTAACGAGTCCCCCACCATACTCGAGTACAGTACTCGAGTCGACTATCGGGTCTCAGATACGCACGGATTTATTGTCATATATTTCGCCAACCCCAGTTTCGGGTGCTTCTTGCCTGCTACTCGAGTAATGTACGAGCGACGGGATCGAGGTTGGGATCATAATACCAATATGCGGAATGTCAGTTTGCGCACGTTAGCGAGGGTCGCGTAAGCATTGGTACCTGTGCTGTACGAGTACTGTACAGTACCGGTACAGAAACCAGTACTTGTGTTGTGGGGTATGATACGATAGAAATGGAACGGAGGAGGTAGTAATGATAGGGTTAAGTTAACTTTGCTCCATTGGGGTACCGGTATTCGTTCTACCAGTTTTGGAAGAGGAAGGACAAAATGCGTCTGCTCAACCCAAGTTTTATTCCCCTCTTTTCTTTTCCCTCTTTTCTTTTCTTTTTTTTTTAAGGGAGGAAGGAGCAAAGTAGGGCATCTTATCACATCATGCCTCCATCCATGCGGTGCTGCCCCCCCCCCTGCAAATAAACTTGGATTGACATATTATACGAGTATAAAACGTTTCGCCCTCCGAACTGAATTGAGTGGGCGACTTATTTGTCCACACAATCGCGACTCGTACTGGTACTTGAGCACCGGTTTGGTACCTGAGTCCGTACTGTACTCGGGTACTATGGTCGATGGGTCGGGTTTCTGCCGCTTTAGCGCTTGTTGGGGGTTGTGGGGGACCGGGGGGGGGGGTAAATTGCTTTTTCCCCTCTATGATATAATAGTACTCGTACAGGCACGAGTGGCGATTGTGGGGAGGTTAGATTGAGCTTGATGTACTTCGTACTCGTATGTTCGGGTTATTTATTTACAATCCTACAATCCACGATTGCTAGTTCTAGTGCCTCAAGGACTATGCTACGGTAGCAGGAATGGGGTTGCGTACTGGCTGTTTGCTGGGTTATGACAAGTTACCGTACTCGTCGCACATTCCGTTTGGTACAGTACGAGTACAGTCAGGCAAGTTAAGCGGGTATGATATTATACCATAATTACTGGGCCAGTGAGTTGAGTCAAGCCGGGTGAACTGGGCTGGGCCCTGGCCTTATCTGGGGAAGAATACTCGTAGAAGGAAGGAGGAGGAGGTGGAGGAGGGAGGAGGGAGAAAAGAAGTTGAGAGGGAATGTGAGGGAAAAAAAAAAGCAAGAAAAAAGGGCGCCGCCTAAAATGCCAGGGAAGAGACAGTACGAGTAGGCAGAAGAAGTGAGAGTGGAAGCGCAGAAGCAGCAGGAAGGAAGGAAGGAAGGAAGGAAGGAAGAAAGGTGAAGCTTCCTTTTTTTTTCTTACTCCCTTCTCTTGTTGTAACAGCAATTGTAAGGTATCATCGGATCCGTATTTTCTTTCCTCATTGCTGATGTATCATAGCCGCAATGCCGGTACGGTAGTAAGCTTCTCTTGTTCACCAAAAAAGGGTTCCCTTCCCCTGTTAGAGCCTCTTGTGCTCACTGCTTCGTTTTTGGCCCAGTTCGATCGTGTCGTTAGTCCTTTTCCTTCTTGTGAGGCGTTCGCTCGATTGTTAGTTCGTCTGTCCCGCTCGGATCGAATCATTCCCCATTTCCCTCTCTGTCCGCCTGTCTCTTTCTTTCTCCCTTCTTTCTTACTTGACTGCTGATTCCTCTTCAACCAATCCCCCCTTCCCCCCATTCTACTATCAATCCATCCAACAACAGAAGGAGAAGTGTTCATCTCTCTCTTTCCATTTTATCTCTCCCCTGTTTCTCTTCTCTCGCCCCTCCCCCCCTCCCACATTTTGTGTGGCCTACACTAGCTTCCCTTTTCCTGCCTATCCCTTTCTCCTCTCCCCACCCTACCTTACCTTACTTCACTCTGCCCCAGCTTTCCTCCTGGATTATCCAACAGCAAGCAATCGACCGCCACCGTTCACCCTGTACATTCTGTGAGAAAAAAGATAATTCGTTAGTAGAAGCCAAAGACCGAGCCGTTGTTTCGTGCCTTTCTTTGTTTGCTAGAAATCGGTCTTGTCTAGCAGGTACATTGAACGAATCTTGACGGGGGTTTTAGCATCGCCCTGCTCACACCCCTCTCCAATAGCCGAGACTGATAGGAACAGGTACCACTCGGAACCCCCACTGGGCGACCCATCTGGCCCCATCTCCGCCAATTTCGTCCACTCGTTCAGCAGCAATCACCAGCAGGAACAGCATCATCAGCTAATTTGTGGTTGATAAATTTTTATTCCCTCTCCCTTTCCATTGATTATTTATTTTATTTTCTGTTTCATCCAGCAGAAACAGAATAACCTCGCGCGCTCGCGTTTTTAATTTCTCCTCTGCCAGCGCCCGTTCGCTGCCGGTGTGATTGGTGAATCAGGGTCCCATTGTTATCTTTTCAGGTCGCATTCCTTCTTTTTCTCCCCCGACCTTTTTTCACGACAACCAACTTTCTTTCGACAATAGTTAGGGAAAAACAACAAGATCGTCTTTGTCCCATCTGGTTCGTTAAGCTGCAGCGCAGGCTCTTTTCCACATGTCCGTCACAACAATGCTCGCCCCTTCGGCGAGAAACTCGACATCGTCGACATCGTCTAGTTTCGTACCTGTCACTCGACAGAATACTATTGGATCAGATGGCGCGCCTAGGTCGGTAAGAGCCTCGAAGAGGTACTCCGTCACGGCGTTGTACCTCTCGATGTCGGCGCAGGATAAGGATATGGAAATTGAGGATGAGCTTGCGAGAGGTTGGTCTTTCCTTTGCCCTATTCTGTCGTCTCCCTTGGGCTTAGGGAAGCAACTTGAACTAACTCCCCTGAACCCTTCCGCCTTCAGTACAAAAAACACTTCGCGACTTGAAGTCAAGGATTTCTTCGCAATCAAAAAAGAATTTCGTCCTAGAGAAGGATGTTCGGTATTTGGATTCACGGATAGCTTTGTTAATTCAGAATAGGATGGCTTTGGAGGAGGTTCGTTTAGTTGCTATCCCTGTGTCTTCACGGTGAAATATATTGACCGTGCGAATGCAGCAAAATGAGGTTGCAAGCCATTTCGATGAGTCGTCTGAGTTGCAGGAGGGCACTTTCCCTGATGATCGGAAAACTCAGCAATATGGAAACTTGTTCTTCCTCCTTCAATCCGAGCCTCGCCATATTGCGGCTCTTTGCCGCCTTGTTAACATGGCTGAGATCGACTCCCTTCTTCAGACCGTTATGTTTACGATTTATGGAAATCAGTACGAAAGCAGAGAAGAACATTTGCTGCTCACCATGTTCCAGGTTAGTTTATTTTAGACTCTTGCGAGGAATCATCCAGGTAGAATTATTCTAATATTTGGTTTGCAGTCTGTATTGTCAGCCCAATTCGACACCACACCAGAATATTCATCCCTCCTTCGTGCGAACACACCTGTCTCTCGAATGATGACAACCTACACTCGCCGTGGACCTGGACAGAGCTATTTAAAGGTGGTACTAGCAAAACAGATTAATAATCTAATCGAATTGAAGGACCTCAATCTCGAAATCAACCCCTTAAAGGTTTATGAACGGATGGTTAAGAATGTGGAGGAGGATACCGGCACTCTCCCGGCCAACATGCCGAGAAGTGTTTCCGCAGAGGAAGCTGCCGAGAATCCTCAGGTCCAGGCAATTATCGAGCCTCGCTTGACAATGTTGATGGAGCTTGCAAATACCTTTTTGTCAACCATTATTGACAACATCAATGAGACGCCATATGGGATTCGGTGGATTTGCAAGCAGATCCGAAGTTTGACTAGGAGGAAATATCCTGACGCGAAGGATAATATTATTTGCACACTCATCGGCGGTTTCTTCTTTCTACGATTCCTCAACCCAGCAATCGTTACCCCTCGTTCATATATGCTTATCGACAATATTCCGTCCGAGCACCCGAGGCGTACTCTCACCCTCATTGCCAAGATGTTGCAGAACTTGGCCAATAAGCCATCTTACTCCAAGGAGCCATATATGGCTAAGCTATCGCCCTTCGTGACGGCCAATAAGAACAGAATTAGCAAATTTTTGAATGACTTATGCGAAGTTGGTGATTTTTATGAGTCCTTGGAGATGGACAATTATGTTGCTTTGTCGAAGAAGGATCTGGAGCTCAACATCACGCTGAATGAGGTCTATGCTACCCACAATTTGTTGGAAAAGCATGCGAAAGAGCTGGTAAGCATGAATTTCACAGGGGCTTGATAGAATATATAATAAGAGCTAATTCCCTCAGCTCCAGGGGAGGGATACGGAACATCTTACAATTCTCCTTCAAGAGCTGGGACCTGCGCCTCCGCAGGTCCCCAGAAAGGAGAATAGGGCTATTATCCTGCCCTTGTTCAGTCGTTGGGAGAGTGCTCTTGACGGTATGTTTTGATGGTCTCAGAATTTCTATCGAAGGTTATGTTGACTCCGTTCTTTTTCTTTCAGATCTATCAGCGGCTTTAGATATCACTCAAGAAGATGTCTATTTCATGGAAGCCAAGTCAATCTTCGTTCAATTGCTGCGAACGCTTCCTCCAATATCTGCGGCTGTCCGCAGGCCCCTCAATCTTAAGAAGATAGCGGATGTTGCGGCTACAACTAAGGATATTGGAACATTCCGTAAAGGGATAAGGGGCTTGGAACTGCTAAACCAATTGAAGGACTTGGGTGTTATTAGTGAGGTGGATGAGTACCAGATTCTTCGGGAGGAAGTGGAGCAGGAGTTGGTCCATCTCGGGTCCCTTAAGGAGAAGGTTACCGAGGAATCGTTGAAGCTCGATGAGGTCTACAAAACCATCCGCGATCACAACGCGTACTTGGTCTCTCAACTGGAAACCTACAAGTCGTATCTGCATAACGTCCGTAGCCAGTCCGAAGGGAAACAACGTGGCAAGCAGCAGAAGCAGCATGTTCTTGGCCCGTATAAGTTCACGCATCAACAACTTGAGAAGGAGGGTGTTATTCAGAAGAGCAATGTTCCGGATAATAGGTGAGCCCTAGAAACCTCCCTTAGAGTGGAACAATTGACTAAGTTCATGCACTTCCCATAGACGTGCAAATATCTTCTTCACCATCACTTCTCCTACACCAGGAACTTTTGTTATCTCATTACATTACAAAGGTTTGCATCCCGATTCTCATCGCTGACATCGGTCCGCTTTGGAAAGCATATGAGCTTACCATGCACTTTCTATTAGGGCGAAATCGAGGGCTCCTGGAACTCGACCTCAAATTGGATGATCTACTCGAAATGCAACAAAACAATCACGACGAATTGGATCTGGAATACGTACAGTTTAATGTCCCAAAGGTGTTGGCCTTACTTAACAAACGATTTGCTAGGAAGAAGTGGTAATGAATGTCTCGCGGCGGATGGCCATGTAGGATTGGTACGATATTATGTGCAGAGATGGCATGATTTCCTTGTCCCACTTTTTTTCTCTTTTTCCCTTGTCTTTTCGTCCTAGTTGCCTGGGGAGTACGTCGGTTGGGGGCGGTTAGGGATTCACTAATGGATTTGCGGGGTGCGGTATATGGAAAAGCCGCCGATTAATGGGGCGGATGGGGTTTTGGAAATCGCTTTTCTTTGCTGTATTTTTTGATTTCTATCCTATCATCTCATTGTTCTAACTGTATTTTTTATTTTATTTTGCTTCCCCTCATTCTATACCCTTCTATTACAAGAATTCTTTGCACTAATCCGCGTCCTTAAAACGCTCACGTACGGCATTGGTTCTCTGTGCTCACTTTATCCAACGATGGCAGAGCCGGAATTGGAGGCTTTAAGTTGGGGTTTTTTCTATTCCTTTTCTTTCCATTTGTTCTTCCTTTTAATCTCGAACTTTTCCATCTTGGGGAGCTTGTCTTTTCTTCCTCCCCCATTCTCTCTACCCCTCTCAACTGCCCCCTCTCACTCATCCACTCATCCACGATAGTTTTCGCGTTTCCACTTGTCTCATTACTGGGGTTGGGATATTCTCCTTTTCTGTTTTCCTCTGATTTTCTCAATCTCATCGGCGTAAAGAGGTTTCTCAGACACAATGCAAGAGTGATATAGCTGTGTACTTTCCTTCTTTTCCTGTTTCAGGTTACCGCTCCAGGGTAGTATTTTCTCTATTTCATTCCCATGCTTGTGTCTGTGTTCGATACCGACATCGCAGTCTCAATATTTAGCCTTTTAAGCTAGTTTGTGTGTTTTGTTTTTGTGTTGTTGGTGCGCTTTTGGTTGTACGTTGGGTGGGTTGGGCATGGTAGGGTATGGTAGGGTATGGTGTTTGTGGGTGATGGAATGAGAACTGGCGAGGGATGGGGAGGATGGATGGGCGAATCAGGAGAACCTGTGGAGGATTCATATAGCTAGAGATTATATCCCTCGGACCGGGCACCTCATCTATGATACTGGTCAGGCTGCTGTATTCGAGCACCTACCTGTGAAACTGGAGTCCGCACCGCACGCAAACACCAGTAAGCCAGCGCCCGACGCCTCATCACATAAGATCACTCGGGAACTGCTATCTCTTATCACTCGCTCGCGATCAAAGGCACTTGTATCATGCCGGTACAGTACCTTCCAATCGCCCCCAACCAAACCATAAATGCAAAACCCCCCGCGGAAAACGTGACATGACGTGATGCGACAAAATAAGGCTTAGCCTATCCGTTGCGAACGAACGAACCAGCAAGCAAGCAGAATGTTGCTGTGCCCGTACGTACGAGTATCATGCCCGCGAAATACAGCCTTGTATTGTACTCGTAGTGTACTCTCACCGCAGTCCACAATCGATGCGCTGTTCTCTGCCGTGCACTCCTCCCTTCATCAACCGGACGGGCAGAATGTCACTGTTCGCGATACATGTATATATATATATATTGTCGTTCCAATCCCTCTGGTCGCATTTATGCCTCACCACCTCCACCTCAACCACTGTTAGATAAAGAAAAAGAGGGAAAAAACCCCGCATAAGGCTGTGAAGTGAATGAGTGAAAAAATTTCGTTAAGTTTAGTCCCACTGCGGGTGGGGAACGGGCGGGCGAAGCGCGGGGCACTGTTATTGTATGTTACGGTATTGTTGTGTTGTGTTGTCAGGATGGATAAGGTACGGTAAGTGATTTGTGGTGCTTGCTTGCTTGTGCTTGTGCTTTTTGAGTAGTAGTAGCACGAGTGCTTGGCGAGGAGTATGGGCTGGGAAAGGTAGGTTGGGATGGGCTGGGGTGGCGGAGCTTGTTTTTATCGACAGATTTCACCCCGGGATTTCAGAAGACTACCAGCAGGATATGGTGCGGTACTATTTATGCTGGCAGTCTCTTGATGGTATGTTATGTTATATAGACTACAATACTAATTTATAAATCAAGTTAACTTATTCACACGAGCCTTGGTTGAGAAAGGGAAAGGAAAAAGAAGAGTCATCATGTCCAGTCCTTTCCCGTTGTTGAGTCAAGCGCGGGCTGGCTGGCTCGTGGGGAAGGGCCGACGTGAGTGGCGGATCGTTTGCTGATCCGGCCTTAAAGGCGAGTGGCTCACAGCTGACTGTAACTAGAACTGCCAGGTTATACTATAGCTCATTGTAACTTACTGTATAGCCCTCTCTCATCCATCAGAGGGCAGAAGAAACTCTGACCCAGCCAGATTTCACTTGACGGACTCAGGACAAAACGTTACTTTAGTCCACCAAACGGACACCCCTTCACTTTTTCCTTTCTCCCTCTCTCCCTCTCTCCTTCTCCCTCTCCCTAACCAGCCCTCCCCACTCACGCTGAAGCTTCATTTTTAAATATCCTCCCCCCTCCTCCCTTCCTCTGCATACAAGTACAGTACGGTACTCCCCACCACCCCTTTCTGGTAACAGCTTCTTTCTCTCCTTTACTTCCTCTCACTTTTGGTTCAACCCGCTTCCCCCCCCCCCACCCTCTCTCTCTCGCTGCTGCACAACTCTCGGATCTTTCTCGCTAGACTTCACACCGCAAAGGGCGGAAGGGCTTCAAGGCTATTCATTACCGTTGGACTTTCCTTAATTAATCCACTCTTTTCAACCTTTTCATCATGTCTTCCGCAGCCATCTTCATCCCTAACAGGCCTGGCGACTCCTCACCATCCTCCTCTACTTCGTCTGAGGCTCCGTCGCCATCTGCTTCTCCTGCTTCACCTCCGGCTGGAGCGTCTGGATCTCCGCCCCCATCGAGACTTCCTTCCTCTTCCTCCATATATCATAGACGACGACCATCACTGCTAAGTCAGTTTCACTTTCTATCTCGTGATGAAATTTCTCCTAGCTACTCTCTTTACTGACTTGAAGCTCAACAGGCTCCTCGGTTAGCCGGGTCGAGCATTCGGTTTTTGATCTGGGAATCCGGGATGGTTCACCAAGACTGGTAAGCACTTGCCTTCCTCCCGCACTTTGTCCAATGTCTCCCCGGCGTTTGTTCTGTGTGTATGTGTGTGTGTGTGGTGTGTGTGTGTTGGCAGGCTAACGGTGGGGCTATCTTCAGATAACCTGCGTTAAAGCTTCCCAGGGCTTCGACTGGAATCAAGGTTCGTAGACTAGGCTCCGCATTCTTGTTTTCCTTGTCGTGTCAGCCGCGCAACAGGGCAGACTGGCTAACTGCGGGTCGTATGATGTGGGATAAATAGACATCTTTCTACCCTCGTCGTCGGAAATCACAATCCATAATGGAATTCAAAAGCCCGAGACAGTTCATGAGATTATCCTCTCGGAGGATGAGAGCTTCCTTCCGTCCTAATTGCGATTAGCGTTGCATGGTGCGGGCGTTTTTGTCATCATCATCCATCATCCATCCATCATCGTTTTTGGCATGACAAGTATTGGTCAAAAGGGACGGTTCGGCGATTACTTCTGCTACTACTACGACTACTACTATACGTACAACTACTACTACTTTCCGGGATAGGGGCGTTTTGCGCGAGACCTTTCTTTTTCCTTCCCATTTTGACACTTTTCTGCACTTCTCTTTTTGTTTTTGTTTTTGTGTTTTCAATACCTGGATCTTCCGGGTTTTGCGCACTCACAACAAGATAGGATCTTGGATGTGGTTTCCTTTTAAACGAAGATACATTGTCAGTAATGGAGTTTTGATTTTATTTTCGTTTATCCTTACACCTTTCTTTTTGGGTTGGGGTTTATTGAATGGGGTGGGTGAGTACTTGTACGGTCATGCTTGCACGGGGAACAGATGGATGGGCGGATGAGGGTCTCGGAGGCTGCTGGGTGGGCTGGCTTGTGTCGATGTGGGGAAGTACAGTAGGGATTCTATTTGCAGCGTGGTAAATAGCTCGGTCTGGTCTGGTCTGGCAAAGTCTCGTGTACTATGCTACGATGTGGCCTGGATATGAGCACACGGGTGGAGGGTGTTTTTTGTGTTTTTTTGTTCTGTTCTCATTTGATTTCAGTGTTGCGCCTGCCTTTCAGTTGCATTTTCCTTCGAATGTTTTGTTTCCCTTTTTTTCTACCGTTGCTCCCCCTTGTTGATCGAACTCTATTCTTACCCTTTTTCTTCCCCTTGCGCGCGGTTGCTCTCTCCTCCTCACCCCCCCCCCCCCTTCACTCTTAAGACCTGTGTGTATGTACTGGTGGTTGTTTTTTCCAGATTCCCCGAGTGTTTTCTCCCCTTCTTTTCCATGTGTACGAAAAGCATTGCATAATGCGATAACTGGCAATCGGAAATTGTTTATTAGTTTTTTCAAGGCCCGCGTAGAGTGTCATACTTATCTCGCTCTGTTCCTTCCTTCCTCCTCCCCGGAGAGGGTATTGCTCGTACTGTACTGTACTGTAGCCCAGGTTGGATTGGGTTAGGTACCGGGTATGCGCATGGCTAATATATCCCGTGCGCAGCATATCCATCCATCCAGCTATCAATCGTAGTACCATACATGATGGCTGCTGCCTTGGGGCGTACTGTAACTCAAATCAACTGCCGTAATTCGTCATAGGTTCACAGTGGATGGGTTACTTTCCCCTCTTTTTCTCCATTTTTCCTTTTTCCTTCCTTACTGCCGGGGAATCTCGGCTCTTGGAGGGGGAGTAATGGGAGGGGATTAGGATTAAGATTCAAGATGTGTGGCACGATAGGTACTGTGTAGTCGTGTGTTTATCCGATGGTCATGATATGTCACTCGTTGACGGTTTTTTCTTCTTTTTTTTCCCTCTTCCTTATGTAAAGTGTTCTATGATGATGGGAGTGGCTGGCTGGTGTGGTGACCGGAACCGTGAAGGTGGGAGGGTTGTTGTTCTTGGGATTGGAGTCGTACAAGCTGGATGGATGTCAACGGCGAGGGAAGAGAGGGAGGTATAGAGCGATTGGGTTTATGGGTTGACTTGAGCTTTGTATGATATTGTATGATATGATATGGTGGTTTATTGTATGTATCGTACTGCCCGGAGTGTATCAGGTGGGGGGGGAGGTGAGGGTGGGGATAGGACTGCCCTCTCCCCTTCCAACCAATCAACAATCCATTCCCAGTTGAAAGGAGAGAAACAACGGGAAAGGGAAAAAGGAAAAAAAAAAAAAAAAAAGCATCTAACTTAAAACTGGAATTTGAATCCTCCAAACGGATCACCCTGGCCACCATCGCCCCTGAACATAAACTGCTGCCCACCACCACCGCCGGGTCCACCCCTAAACATAAAATTTTGCCCACCATGTCCCCAGGCCCGTCCGGGACCATCCTGCTCGTTCGGGTCGTCCCCAGCGTCGAACCTAGCCCTCAATTCCTCATTGGAAAGCACCTCGTAAGCCTCATTTATCGCCGCCATATTCTTGAGTATCTCCTCCTGGGAGAGTTCACCACGGTACTTGTCCGGGTGGTACTTCTTCGTGAGTGCGCGATAGGCACGCTTGATCTCGCGGTCCGAGGCGTCGCGTGGGACGGAGAGGACCTTGTAATAGTCTTTCGCCTTGGAGCGGCGGAGGAGGGTGTGCGCTTCTTGGAGCTTTTGAAGGAGGGGTTGGGAGTCGGGGTGGGTTTGCTTGGCGTGTTCGAGGGTGCGGATGGCTTCTTCGAAGAGGTCCTCTGCGAGTTGAGTTGTGGCCTTGGAGAGGAGGGCTGGGAGGGAGTTGGGATTAAGGGATAGGGCGGCGGCACAGTGGGGAGTGGCTTTTTTGTTGTTTTTAGTCTGGGGGAGTGGGTTAGTTTGGGTGGGGAAAGCGAGGGACAGGGAAAGGGGGTTACCTCTGTGTATACTTCGCAGGTGGTTTCCAAAAGCCATAGTAATAGGTCCTCCGGACAGGCAGAGGTGTAGTAGCCCGCTTTTCTGATGTCTGCCACTTCCTCTTTGACTTCGTCGATGAGACCGGTTTCGCCGGAGTGGCCAACGAGGAGTCTTGTTGCGCTGGTGTATTGGCGCTTCTCGACTAATGTTCGGACCTTTGCGACGGACTTTTCTAGATCCTTTATTCGGCGGAAACGCTTGCTGCAGGGTTTGGAGTCTGGATCTGAATGTAGACATTTGCGGAGTTGGGCTACGGCACGGTCGTAGTCGTTCACAGAGAAGTAGAGGAGGTTGGCGATTTGTAGGTGGGGATCTATGTTGCCGGGGAGTAGTTGCACGAGGTGGCTGTAGACGTTGTTAGTATTGGTTGTGGTTGGGGGAAAGGGGCGAGAAGAGCATACGTTAGATCACCAACCGCCTCATGCACCTCCCCCCGCTTCAATCTGCACCTCGCCCGCAGCGACCGGAGCGAGTGCAGGCCGCTAGCAACCATGATCGCCGTCCCAGCATGCGTGACACATGCTTCATAATCTCCCTTCTTCTCCGCTTCCATAGCCGTCTTAACAGCCCGCTCCGCCTCCTCCAGCTCCGCAATCCTCTCCTTCCCCGTCACTCCGCCAGCCTTCTTATAATCCCTCCTCGCAGCGTTCCAGTCCCCCGTCCTGCTCTTAAGCTTTGCCCGCTGCAGCAGCGCAGCTTCAAAGTCCGGCTTCAAGCTGAGCACAGCATCGAAATCGGCGGATGCTTGGTTACTACGCCCGAGGGATAGGTATGTTGCTCCGCGCTTGAAGATTGTAAGGTAGTTTGTTGGGTCCTTTTTTATCGCGGCTTCGAAGTGATCTAGGGCGCCATGCATGTCACCTTTCGCTAGAAGGGCATTGGCGCTCTCGATTAACGACTGAACGGGTTGGTTAAAGGAGGTGTCGCAGGCGACGAAGTGCACCGAGAATAGAGCTGCTGCAAGAGCGAGGGTTCCGAGTCGGACGATCATGGCACCGCCAGGTTTTGGTGCAATTTGTTTGGTGACTAGCTGATTTTCTCTTTGGTATTTGCTTCGTTTGAAAGAAAAAGAGGCGTTTTAAGGCCTGAGAAAGTTGTTGCAAGGAATGACTGTGGGGTGAGGTCCGTGGAAAGGGGGGAAATCCGGGGTAGAAAAGAGAAAAAAAGGGAAGGGGGAGAATGCAAAAGGGAGAATCGAGGTGCAGAAGGAAATTATATGGAGCTGGGATTGTCGAGTTTGCTCCAGGTGGCCTTTACTTAGACTATTACTTTGTGTTCTGCCACCCACCCAATCATCGCGATCTGATAAATATAGAAACTTTTGATTAATTCCATCCATCTCATCTCATCTGATAAGATTTGATACTTTCTTTGTGTGCTTCGAGTATCATCTCACAACACCAAGCGAAACTCAAGAAGACATCCGGCTTAAGCGGGTCCGAATTTACCCCCAACCCAGCATAACCACACCATGGCAGATTATCGAGATATCTGGTCCCCGGCAAAAGTCTTCTCGCCGTCGGCAGCGAAGCACCAGAATCATCTCGCGAAAGAATGGGCGTACGTTGATCAATGGCTCGCGGCACGCTACCATCCAAAACCGGTACCGAAGTTTGAGCGGAACCCTGACACCCTGAAGGCACTCACTACTCTGGCCTCTGCGAGCGAGGCTGCTAACGAAGAGCGGGCCTTGGAAACAAAAGTTAAGGAAAAGGCACTCGCCGAGTTGAAGGCTAGGGATAAGGCCGCCTCTGAGAATGAGGAGTCTGTGCTGATTGCGTTGGAGGAGAACTTGACGCCTGAGGGGACTCGAGCGTTGAATTCAATTGCTCTATTGTCGGTTGCGTTGGGATCGACTTCTACAGATACTCAAAAGTATGGAATTCCTGGTCTACGTGCGGGCATGGGAATGGGAGAATGAGGGAAGGGGGAGCTAATAGTGGGATAGGTTAGCGAAAAACTTGATCGACTTGACAAAAGAAGAATTCGAACTAAAGTATCAATCAATTCGGATTGAAACCCTGCATAAACGACTGCAGAAAGACCTCGCGCACCTGCGTGAGAAGCTAAACTGTATGGAACACAGTGAGGAATTCAAGGTTCCGCCGGAATTAGCTGGACAGGTTGCAGAGTGGACAAGGACGGGTAGGCATTTGAGGCATAAGGCAGAAGACTATAAGGAGAGGGTTGAGATGCTGCAGGTGAGTTTTCTTGCCGCAAATTGGTGGGTAGTTGCTGATATGTACGTGTGAACCCAGAACGAGTTCAATTCTTCACGTTTGGCAACCGGCCTGACTGTCGAGGCCGTCGCAGGGCAAGAGAAAGCAGTGGAGGCGTTGAAGGAGCATGTGCTCAATTTGGAGTCGCAGGCCAAGTGCTTTCAGGGACTGCCTCCGGAGAAGGATCTTGCTAGGTTGGAGGTTGAGAGAGTTGCCAAGGAGCTCGAGGAGTTGGAGGCGAAGAGAGAGAAGCTCTATGATACCATGGTTGGGAATTGATGATTGTGGTTTTGGCGTGTGAAATAATTGAGGGTCTAATTAGATGGCTGTAGTCATATAGGAATCTACAGAGATTACTGGGTATTGGCTTGATTGCAAAAGATGCTTTATAAATTTGATAGGCCCTAATGTCCTCACAGTGAGTCCTCTACACACTGGCACCACCTTCCACTACTTGTAGAACCCGTAACTTAGACCTGGGGACCGAGCGAAGTCTCACCTGCACAAGAGCTCTTTTCTTGGCATTGGGTAAGGGTTAGAGGAGAAAAAGCAATTACTCCACAGGCAAACTCATCGCAATCGCCAAAAGTCTCCTCCTCACACTCAAAATCCTTTTTTTATTTTTATTTCTTATTTTTATTTCTTATTTTTTATTTTGTTTATCCTTTTTTCTTTACGAGTGTGGGCGCGGGTATCATACATAGAAGAGCAGCACCCCCGGTTCCTCTTCGACTGATCCCGTCGCCATTCGACTTTAACCCTGATCAACCGCGTATCCTCCCTATAGACTGGTAATCCCTTCCATTAACTTAACTACAATATCATATCGTGGGACGCGCGCGTCTTTCCGCACTTCGGTGCCTCAACCGGGGAGACGATAATCTAACCAGACCATCCCGGTAGCATACACAATACTATCCGCTAGCAACCCTCAACATCGACTCAATTAGCTACGATGGTAACGATTCGGAATCCGACGCCGAAGCTGAGCGATGAGCTCTATAGAGCGATGCAGACTGTACTGGATTCACTATTTAACCAGAAAGACTCCGAGTTGGAACCCCCCCTTTCCATGCGTTAAAAATCTTCCGCACTTCACTACCATTTCTTCCTTCGCATCTAACCTCTAATTCATTACTTACCGACAATATGTGAACAGGGGCCGTGACATCTCCGACGCTTTCCACGATCTTCTTCCGAAACGACAGTATGCCGACTACTACAAGTTGATAAAACACCCTCAGGCGCTCAACCCGGTACAGAACAATGTCAAGAGAAAAATTTACTCCTCCTTCTCAGCTTTCGTTAGGGACTGTACACAAATCTTCCATAATGCAAAGCTGTACAACCGCCACGGCAGTGTCATCTACGTCGATGCGGAGACTCTCGAGGCCACTTTGCGTGCCGATTTGACGCGTGTCAAGGAGACTGGAGTGATTACTGAATCCGATGCTACACTTCCCGATCTCGGTCCATTGCCTCCACCATCTCCTAGCGGCTCCCAAGGATCTCCTGATCCAGAGGAAGATTCGGCTGCTGAGGAGGAGGACGAGGAGGAGGAGGAGGAAGAAGAAGATGAGCCAGAGGAGGATACTGGGAAGAAGCGTCGGATATCTACTCGGAGGAGAACTCTGACAAAAGCTTCCAAGCGGGATGCTGGCAGCGCGGATGAGGGGCAAGGTGGTGGCGAGGGATCTAGACAGAAGGATCTTAGCGACCCTAGGAGGAAGAGAGGAAGGCCCCCGAGGGTTGACACCCCGATGGAGATCAGGGTTAAGAATGTGTTAAAGGCGCTCAGGAAGCTAAAGGATGAAAGGTTAATGATTGCCTTATCCATTTGGCGGGTGTTGGTGCTAATAGGTTTATAGTGATGGCCGCTTGAGAATAAGTACTTTTGAGAAATTGCCGGAGAAGAAGGAGTTTCCTGAGTATTTTCAGGAAATCAAGGACCCTATTGCTCTCGATATCATCCGGGTGAGCAGGCCTATAGGATCTAGTTCGACCGTATCGCTAACAGAAGATTGTAGAAAAACGTCAAACGTCGCGAATACAAGACCTTTGACCACTTTATCGCTGACATGGAGCTGATGTTTGAGAACGCAAAGAGCTTTAATGAAGATGACAGTGATGTTTACGGGGATGCTGTCATCTTACAAGAGGAAATGCGCAAGGCTGCTGAGGTTGAAAAGGCTAGAAGGGACGAAGATATCACCGGCGGTGAAGAAGGCGAGCGAGGAAATAAGCCTACTAGGTTGCCCTTGGAGAAGGTCGAGCATAGAGGTGAAACGTACCGAGTTGGTAAGTACCTTAATCGTAACCAAAGTAGCCGTATTAGCTATTAATTGTGTAGGCGATTGGATCCACATTATCAACCCTAATGATCCGAACAAACCAACCGTTGGGCAAATCTTCCGTACCTGGAAAGATCATGAAGGGCAGATCTGGATCAACGCTTGCTGGTACTATCGCCCGGAACAAACCGTCCACTGGGCTGAGAAGAAGTTTTACGCAGATGAAGTTGTGAAGACCGGACAATACCGAGATCATCATATCGACGAGGTCCTGTCCAAATGTTTCGTCATGTTCTTCACTCGATATTCCCGTGGGCGACCGAAGGGTGTCGATGAGAAGAAGTGTCCTATCTATGTTTGCGAAAGTAGGTACAACGAGATCGAGAAGCATTTCAACAAGATTAAAACCTGGAAGAGCTGTATCCCAGACGAGGTTAGGGGGCAGGACTACGAGCTCGACGCGTTTGAGAAGCAGCAAGTGTTGAAGAAGCTACCAAGTCCTATTCTTCATTTATTACCGGAAAACGCAGAAGAGGGCGACCCATTACCTGACGCGAAAATGGGTGTCGAAAATGCGCCGCCTATCATCGGAGCTGTCTTCAAGAGGGCAAGACGAGACAATGTAAGTTTGCCGCTCCTTGGGTTTTGCGGTGTGCGTTTTTGTGGGAGCCTAGTGTAATTTAAGATGTGGCCCTGGAAGCAAACCTTACTGACACAACCTCCTTTTCCTTCTTTTCTTTCAGGACTCACCGCCCCCAGAGCCAACACCTCCGCCAGCGCCCATGCCTACACCAACTCCAGTCGCCCCCCCTCCTAGGGTTCCGGTAAATCCGGATTACACAGAGACCATGTCGATGACACAGATGTACAAGCAAGCTCATCTCGCCGCATCCATTACCCCTTCGACGGCGCAGGGAAACTCCCATTCTGCAGGTTCACCAACACCTTCTGGACACCACCAATCCACCCGAACTCCTATGACCCCACAATACTCCTACTCGCACCAGCAACACCAAGGGACCCCGACCACGCTTCATCGCAGTCACTCGGGCAGCTACCCATCCCCGGGATCTTCTCAAATGTCTGCCCAAATGCTCGCCCAGCAACAACAGCAGCAACTCCTGCTCCAACAGCAGCAACAGCAACACCACCAGCAGCAGCAGCAACTCCAACAGCAACACCAGTTGCAGCAAAAGCAGTACAACCCCCCCGCGCCCCCCACCACATTCACGCTCCCGGACAGCGTAACAGGTAACATCCCGACTGAAACTGCGAACCAGTTCCTTCGCGACGCCGAGGGGAGATTGTTGTGGTTCACTGTGCCCCCGCTAGCGCCCGAGAAGCCAGCCGTTGAGGGAGAGATCCCCGGCCATTCGCTCGCGTACCTGGCGCGCAAGGAGGAGATTGAAGAGGGCAAAAGGAAGCGCAGACTTGTACTCGAGGAGGAAGAGAAGGCGAGGAAGAAGGCGAGGGAAGAGGAGAGGAGTAAGTTGATGAAAGCGGCGGAGGAGGCGATGATCAAGGCACTTGGGAAGCTGGCGGGACAGGTTGCGTCTGGTAAGGGCGGGATCCAAATAAGTGGCAATGGCGAGGGACAGAGTGTCTAGTTAATTTCCCTTAATTCCTTCTCACACTTCCCACTTTTTTCTGTTCTCGGGTCAGGCAATTAAACCGTTCTGTCGTGTTCTTCCTTTAATTTTTTTTCTTGTGTTTGGTTGATTGGTTGATTGGTGGGGTATCGCTGGTTCCTCAATACATACATATCATATCATACATAGCTTACAGTTCTATTGTACCGGGGTGTTTGTTTGGGGGGGGTTCTTTCGCAATACTGTACTCTAGTTTCTTTCTCGTCGCAGCTCGATCAGAAGTATGATCGGAGGTATGAATGGATGCGGGCATGGCAATACTACATCTCAGGGACAAAATGGGGACGGGAATGCGACCGGTGTCGGCGATATCCCGACACTAACGGCGAATGCGAACCCGATCCCAATCCAACCCAGCCCTGAATGGACTGATGTTAGTAGAGTGCTCGTCTATAGTACGAGTACATGGATCGCCAACCGGGTATTATAGCGCTGCCACTCCCTTCCCCGCCGATCCTCCACCGGCTTATCGCTAACGGGTAGGGTCAAGAGTTGAATACCGTATCGTAGCCGTGTCACGAAGATTTAGTGGGGGAGATACCGGCATCACACCTCACCGTGCCCCGCGGATTCCCGTGCGTGTGCAGTGGGGGTTACTTTGGAATTGGATCTTGGCATCACTCGTGTGGGGAGTGCTGTGCCGTCGTGCTGGGGTGATGGTGGGTGGGTTTATGTAAGGTACGGGTGTGGAGCGCGGGGTGCGGGGTTGTTGGTGTGGGGAGTTTTGAGTATAGTATGGGGACATCGATTTGTTACTCGTGTTGGAAGTATTATAATATTATAGTAGTTATTTTGGGGGGAGCGGTTGAAACGGAACGGTAAGGATGTCCCGCTGGCCGAGCATCACGGGCATTATATCGCTCGCACGGCTTTTTATCGGAGGGCGTGGTAGCGTGTTGCGGGGTACAGTACCGGTATTCGGCATAGCAGCGTAGTAGCATTCAAACCTATAATTCCTCACCACTAACGAGCAAACTCGGAGCCACGACCAGCCAGTACTCGAGTACAGTAACATCCCCAAATTCCCCCCACGGCAGCTCGAGGTGAGGGGTTTAAAGTTATTCGCAGTCTACATGGAGAATTTCTTAGAGAGTATCACAAAATCTCACTCGCTACATGAAGTTATCATGTTGCGAGGATGTTGGATAGAACAATGATACGAGAAGTGATTGATTGCTTGAGAAACTAGAATGCTTAACGTTTTTCAAAGGAAGAACTGAAGACCTTGACTATCTACTGTTTGGAGCAAGACAAATAGCTTGAACGAACAATAACAATAACAAAGAAGAAAAGAGGTGTGTGAGAAAGGCAAGGAGGTATGTATATCTTCAATAGTCCAGGAGGTCTAGATGCGTCATCAGGTTTAATGTAAGGAGAAAATTCAGTACTCGAGTAGTAGGAGTAACACTACAGTAGTGCGAGAAGTATGTTTCAACACACGTCAAATGTTTTTTATGATATTCTCATTCAATTAGACTATCGCCCTAATGCTACGTACAGTAGGAGACTCCGTTACAAACTAATCCCGGATAAAACGCCAAGCTAAGGAGAGTATCTCTTCCCCCACACACACAAACTTCAATCCACCAAAAATATCTACAAGAATGATAAAATCCCTATTACCTCCCCCCTCCCCCGTCGCCGAACCACCCACCCGAGTGCAAAAGACAAACTATCCCCCCAGCGGCTCGTCATAATTAACAACCCTCAACGCGCCCTTCGGCGCCGTAAACATAACCTGCACGACCCTACCAGTACCGATCGCCGTTTCAACATCCCACTCATCACAACCACGGTCCAGCATTATCGGCACAGAAACCGACCCATTCCCTCCTCCCTCCTCCTCCTCCTCACCACTACCACCCAAGGAGGCAGAACTGGAAACACTCCTGGACGAGGTGCTCCCAAATAATGATAGCGGCGACGAGGACTTAATATGCGGCAGGGCGTTGCACACAGCTGTCGCGCTGAGCCAGCGTTTCACGCCGCTCGGGGGGATGTTGGAAGGTGTCGTGGATGGGCTTGAGGAGAGGGTTGATGTGGCGCTGCTACCCGCGGTGGTGGTGGTGGTTGCCAGGAATCTGGTGGCATGGGCGTCTAGGGAGACGCTCCGCTGGGAGATTGTTGGTCTCGGCGATGGGGGGAAGAAGCGGGCTGGCTTCATCAGCGTGCGCATCTTCGGTGCGCGCACGGATGGGGCGATGGTCCGGGCGCGGCTGGGCCGGTAACTGCGAGTGTACGAGATCCTCAGCGGGGCTCTCGGGAGGGAGTTTAGACTTTCAGAGGACAGCGTTGCGGCGACCAGCCTTGGTCTGCCGCCCGGTGCTGGCTCCGGCGGGGGTTCCGGAAAGGCGGACACGTCCGGGGTCCACCCGTCCGAGGTCGGCGTTCTGCTCCCGGAGCCCTCCCGCGTGCGCTCGTAGATGGTTTCCTGCTGCGCCATCGTCTCCGCGAATGCTAGGGAGCGGTCGTACATCTCCGCGAGGTCCGTCGAGCCATCCGTCGCCCCGGCGCTGCTACTGGCGCTGTGTCTGCGAATGCTCTCCTCGTCGCCTTCGAGGATCGTGGATACGCGCGCTGGTGCGGCGGAGGCCCCGCGGTAGACCTGCATTTGGCGGCCGGGTTGCGGGAGTAGCTGCAGTGGGGAGATTGACGTGGAGGATTGAGAGGAACTGATATCGTCGTCCGGAGGAGTTATGGAGCGGGATAGGGGGCTAAAGGGGTGGTTCACACCGAGCGTGCGGGTCATATGTGACTTCTCGACTATTCCTATGCGGTCGGCCGAGCCCTCTTTCGAGTAGAAGCCGAAAGTTCGCCTCCCTTCGGTTTCCCAGGTGTTGCTCCTCATGGGGTCTTCTTCATCGGGGTCCTTGTTTCTGCCGCGGTACCAGAAAAATAGCGCTGCTGCTGCGATCGCCGAGAGGAGGCCGAGCAGGGCGCCGAGGACGGTGGCCGTTTTTTTGTCCTTGCATTCCTTTTCCCGCTTCTCCCCCACCGGTAGGGCTGTGGCCCTTGGGGGGTTGCATGTGGATGTCCAGGTGTTCGAGGTGACGTTGAACAGATAAGTACCCTCACTGACCTGCGGCACTTTCCCAGCTTCGAATGGGGAGATCCTGTACCCACTGGTAATCATCATGACATCCCCATCGAGCATCACCGCCGCATGTCCAGCTAGTCCATCCTGATGACCGTCACCAGGAGGCCCAAGCTCCCCCCCAAAGATATACGGGACCTCCCATTTCCACCCGCCTCTGCCGACCTCGCCAGACATATCCAGCACAATCAACCTAGGTTCGGCCGGGGTGTTGACATCGCCAACCCATCCTCCATAGACAATCACTCGCTTCCCATCCTTGGTAGCAACGGCAGTATGCCCCGCGCGGGAGTCGATCCGCCTGGTAAACCCTTCCTCCCGTCGCTCTACAATAACGGAGAAGTCCTCCCTCGTAGTAGTTCCGGGAGTGGGCTCCGGCACGTTACCCACCTTTGTCGAGCTGGTCGGCAGCTTCGGCGGGAAGGACCTGGGCAGGTTCACGTCGGCAAATCTCCAGCGGCTCTCGGGAACAAGATATACAGCCACCTGCCGCATATCCACAAACGCCCTCTCGGTGTGTCCGCCAATCATGACAGCTGTCATGCTATCCCCCTTCGAAACGATGGCGAAGGAAAGGCCCGATTCAGGGATTGGCCAATCGTAACTATTATTCCCACTCCCACGCTCCACGAGGGTGACATCAGTGGAAGCGGCCACGGGCCCAGATTCCGAAAGCCCTCTCCGGCCCCTCCCCCCCTGGATGTACGAGAACTCGCGGATGGCGGGGAACCCGAATTCTAGCATGGAATTCTTGTACACGGGACCCGTCTCACCGGGGCACATTCCGCCAAAGAGATACGCTTTGCGATGGATCTCTGCGGCGACGACGTTCCCCCGCTCGTACTCGTGCAATCCGTCGTCGCTCGGTGCAGCGGACCCCCCATTCATGAATGTCGGTCCCGGAGCAACCGCGCTCGTCGTCGCGGAAACCTCATAGGAAAACCCGGCAGCGTGATTCCTCCCCCTGGGGGCAACCTCCATGCTAGACTTCACATTCCAGTTCCGCCAGCCGCTCGCGCGGTCCGAAACGTTGTACTCGTACAGCCCCAGTTCCGAATCGCAGGACCCCATCAACAGCACCATGACATCGTTACCGTCCGTCCCGTTCTCACTGAAGAGTAGGGGCGTCATGGAGATCTGGAGCGATGATCCCGCACTCTTTGCCGGCAGTGGAGGTGGTGGCGGTAACTCTGTGAACGCGTTGGACATGTTCCTGGCGAATACCCTGCCGCTCACGTTCAGCGAGACGAACCTGAACTCTGCCGTCTGCGCTGATGGTAGGAAGAGGTAGAGTGTCGAGGAGTCCCCCGATAGGAGCGCGCTGGCGGGTGTGTATTGCGATAATGTAGTTGGCGATGCGAATTGTGACAGCAGTGATAATAATAATAATATTGGTGATAGGAAGAGAAGGTATCTCATCGTGACTACGTTACGTCCTTCCGCGTGAGGCAGGGTAGGGTTGTGGCGGTTTGAAGGAGCGTAAGTTCGACAAGAGCAAGCGCTGGTGGACGAGGAAGTGAGGGAGCATGACGGGACTAAGTTAGTTGGTAACTTTGCTGTGAGGAGATAAAAAGCTGTGGCCACGATTATCGAGATGGTTGATGGATGGCTGGGAAGAGTGTGCCAAAGTTGGGTGGCTGAGGGTGTATGATATTGTATTATAAGCTCTTGTCCCATTTTTTTCGCTAGGTGAGGGAGGAATGGAGGACACATTCCCGGGGGGGGGATTCCCCGAGAAGATGGCGTGTGCCACACGTGTTATATTGTGGGTAATATGCCCTTCCCCGGATTCCCGTGGTCATTGAAGAGGTGTGTGGTCAACTATCGAATTCCTTCCCTGCATTCTTCCAGGCGTCACCCTCCCACAAACCATCATAATATCCTCCGAGTGATTATTCATGATCCCAGACATTTCATCGAAATCATCACCGATCAATTATCCAAACATAGACCAATAAAGCCGGCGCCATATTCACCCCCTGGATCCCATCCATCGCTTCCCTCTGGTCAAACTAACCGTCAAAATACACCTCCACGAGCCCGCCCAAGCAAACATTCCCCAACCTTCAACCAAAAACACTCGCGCAATCCCCAATCCGGAAGACTGATGATTCACTAACCTTGCCAATGCCAACCCACAACCACGTTTTCCCCAACCCATATCTCAGCCATCCCGCCACCAGTAGAGTAGCCTGAAGCAGGTCAGTCAACCATGGAAAAGAGCCAGGGAGATAGCTGGCTTTGTTCCGCCATACCTCCAACACCAAGACTCTACTAGTACTAAGCACTAAGCACTAACTCGTACAGCCTTCGTATCCGGAATCTATCAAAATCGTCAATACCATCCTGACCATGATAACAACACCCTGATGAGAAAAAAAGGGACACTCCAGGATAAGTCAATTAAATTCGGTTCGGTCCGAGAGACCTCTCAACTTCTAACCCACACAGTGGAAGTATATACAAGAAAACTGAAAAATGAAAAATCCCTCCAGATCTACAGCCAGTCTAATTTGCTCCGCACATTGGTATAGCGTGGACGCCAAAAGGAAAATCCAACCCTTTTTACAAAAGCAACGATGAAATGCCATCAGAGCCGGAGCTCGTTACCGACGCCCGGAATTCCACATGTGCACCGCGCCACAAAACTATTACATTCCGAACAATTGGAAAGCTAGTCGCAGTGCTTAGAAGCCGAGATTTTGGATACCCCAATGCTAGAGAGGTCAGGTTAGCAAATGGATCACAAACGTTTGTGTGCATAGGGGATGAGACAAACCTTCTCGGCATTGAAAGTAGCTGGAGTATCCGTCTTCCAGTTATCGTCGAAAGCAGTGAAGTAACACACATCAAGCCCCATGGCGTTCTTAATGGAGGAAAGGGCAACACCTTGGTTGTCGACGGAAGGAACAGCAGCGCCGTTAGGACTGCCCTCATGAGGCCAGCCGGTTTCTAAGGCTTGTCAGTAATTTATCCCTCCCGGTAAACAGGCTATATCAAAACTTACCAGTGATCAAGACCTTCTTTCCACCACAGGCTTTCTTAACATTCTCGGACTGAGTCTTCAAGAAGTCACCAGCGGCGGAAGCGTCAACCTTTCCGTCGAAAAAGGGGTGGCAGTTGGCAGCAACATAGTCAGAAGCTTCGCAGAGAACAGGATTGGCCATGATGGCAACGAAAGTGTCGACAGTAACAACCGATCCAGTGTACCCAGCGGCTCCCAAAAGAGAACGGGCGATCTTAACTTTAGCTACGACACTTTCAGCACTCATCTGACCGGAATTGACAACTTCATTGCCAACAGAAACAGTGTGAACAAGTGCCCAGTTGTTTGCAACCATGGTGATAAGTTTCCCGATCTCATTTTCGCAATCGGGAACGTTGTGGATACCAAGGAAGAGCTGAAAATCATACTTCTTTGCCGCAGCGATACCATTGGGAACCTGGTTGCAGTCGATACCGTAGAGACGGAGGTAGGAGAAGTCCCGAAGCTTCTCAGTATCAGAGAGAAAGGTGGCCTCGTCCTTGCAGGTGCCATCGGCATTGTAGGGAGAATAGACAATCCCTCCCTTGGACTTTGTGCTAGAAGTCGTAGGGGTAGTGCCAACCTCATCAGGAGTTGCAAACCTTCTGCCATGACGCCCTCCTATAGAGATAATTAATTAGGCCAAGCCTAAACCCAATACACCGGAATTTGCGACAACATACCGTGAGGCTGGGCAGAGCTAAGCTGCAATACCGCAAGCAGCGCAAGGGCAATATTTGACAAACGTACAAAGATCATACTGACAAAGGCTATCGCTTTCTAGAGAGAAAAATAAAAGTAAAAAATCACTACCCGATTCTATTTTATGGTGGGGGATCCTTCGAGGATGTAATCCGGATTGGTTGCTATCAAAGTTAAAGAAAGTGTGTGCACGTCGATTTAAATCAAAAGGCAAGAAAAAAGGAGTGACTGGGTGATAAAAGGAAGGGACAGAAGAGGGGTGAAGGACGAACAGACAGCCTCGGCAGCAAGTTGTAGAATGGTGAAAAGGGAATTGGGGGAAGGGAGGTGGGAGGATGGGGGCAGATAAATAGAAAGACCGGCGGGGGATGAAGGGCGTTTGAAAACCACAACCACCCGTCACTGACCCTGCCAGGGGAGGTGGGCCTGCAGTATATCATAGTTGGACAGACATGGGGAAAATGTGCCCAGGCCTGCACGAGTAACAATTACACCCACCCACAATTGTCATCGCCCGCAATGCATGTATGATATATCATAGTACTGGAACGGGTGCGACAGTAACCCATTCATTCACCCTCCTCACTCACTCACAAACCGTCTAGATTGAGGGGGAGGAAGGGGGGGAGGAAGGGCTCTCATCACATTTTGCCGCCTGGGTTTCGGGACAAGCCTCGTCCACCCCAGCAAGTATCAGTCAGTCTGTTCACGGTGGGCTCAGCAAGCATTTAGACCCCAGTCAGCGAAGAGTGAATCTTTCATGACAATCAGAAAGGTACAGTATCATCATCATACCGGTACTCGAACCTGAGCAAGTGCCCGTGCACTGCCGTAACCACGGGTCCAGAGAAGCAGTTACCAATTTCTCCATGTCATAAGGGCCCCACACCCATCCTTAGGAAGATCCAGTGCCGCCGGTACTGTACAAGTATAGTACAGTAGTCTACGAGTAACTGTACTGTACCTGTACCTGCAGCTGAACGCACGAAGCGCCCGACTCGAGTTGGGCTCTATTCTGGCGGCGCGTACTCGAGCACGGCACTGTACTGTATTAGTACTCGAACAATACCTACTTGTATGATACAAGCACCCTTTGGAAAGGAGCATGTGGTATTAATACCACTACCATTTAAAAAAAAAGGGCACCTACACCGCAAGGAACAAAAAAATGGTAACAACGCGTTGTCAGTCTCATCCTGCCCCCCCCCCTTCACAGGTACAGTACTAGTACTGTGCTAGTACTTGTACGAGTACTGTAGTTTGGTATGATAGCGCCATCGCATCGCCAAAGAACTCGCAAACACCGGCGTCTCAGGAGACGGGTCGGGATTCAAGAACGACAAGACAAGGAAAATGAATTATGAACAGGTGTGGAAGAAGCAGAAGAGGAAGGAGAAAGAGTAAGAGAAGGGGGAGAAAATGCGCGCATTGACCAGGGCCAATGTAGGGGACTTTTTTCGCTGTTACTGCAGTGCCGGCAGTCTCACGAATCCTGTCATCCCCTCACTCGAAGCATGACACCGGAATGGTATTTTATGGCTCAGCTGTCTGTCCATAACTCATTCCCCGAGTGCAGCAAGCCCAACTGATATCCCGCTGCCCGGGTCAGTCTGTCTCCCCAACCAATAATTCCTCACGAAACCACTTTGTTCCTGCATATCATCGACAAGACAAAGACAAGGGAAAAGCGAGCTAGGAAAGTTCCTTTTTTTTTTTCCCTTTTCCTCCCTTGCTCGCCCCGCTTCCCTCCTCCTCTCCCACACGATCCTCGCGAGTAATCGTTGGAAACTCTCTTCACCAACTCACTGGGTAACGAGCGAGCGGAGGAGTGGCCCATGTCAGCTTGCACTCATTGATCCTCGAATCGAGTTCCGAAACCCCGGCTCAGGCGCGCCATTGGATCTTCCATCTCTCTTCCTTCCTTCCTTTCTTCCTCTCTTTCCCCTGTCAAAAAAAAAAAAAAAAAAAAAAAAGAATTGGCGCGCCTGTGGTGGTACAAAATAAGGTACCGTACCCTAACGAGCAACAACCACTTAATTGCCTTGGCTCGGAACGTCCTCCCCAGTGTCACCGCTCTCTCTGCCATGGACTTTTTTGGTTTTTTTCTCCTTTCCTTCCTTTTTACCCCTGGCATGGGAGGGAGGGGAGCTGGGTTGGGCCACGTACGGTAAGTGTTGGAGTGTGGCTCTCTCTCCCTTCGCACTTCAATTGTACTAGTATTGTTTGTACTCGAGTATTATACAAGTACTCGCTCGTAAGCTGTCTGCTCGTAAGCTGTATACTGTAGGGGTACTAGCACAGTATACCCGCTGTGAGCATTCTGGCTCCTCTTACCTTTCGCGGTCAGATAGCTGCTGTCTTCCGTTGTGGGGTGGGACTGCACACGGCAAGTACGGTACCGTACTCGAGCACAACCTGGCTCGCCTCCCTCTCTCCCTTCTTTTCTTCATTCATTGTTTATATATCATTATAGAAACATAGCAGTCAACCGTGTTATTTCCCCTCCACTCTTGTATATTGTACTATCGTAAGTATTCTGTACTCGAGTATGGTAGGCAGGCGATATCATATCAAGCCATCCCTGTTGTGTATAGTACAAGTACCTAGCCCGGCTAGTTCAACCGCGATGCTGGACCACCGTATCAAGCCCTAACAACAACCCCCCAAGTTGCAGAGTGCCGGTTACCGGTACAGTACTCGTACCTGAACCCGTCCCGCCATCCGTAGCAACCCAAACCATCCCAACAGCCGGCCCTGGCAGAGACCATCCGGACCCTTCCCTCCCCTCAATGAAAACCACCACAATATTATCATCGGCCTCTGTTGCGGCTCCTGTTTTGGCACGAGTACTCGCACTACAAGTACTGTAGTACCGTACAAGTACAAGCCGGTGGCGGTCAGCAGTCGTGCGCGGGCAGTGCAAACAAACGAAACGAAAGTATATTTATATTTACATCTATCTAATAAGGGAAATTGTCCGGAGTTGGAATGGAATTTCCCACCACCGCCACGAGTTCACAGCCCGGTGTAGCCAAAGAAGGGAGGTGGGGGAGGAAAGGGCTTCCTTGTATTGGTCCGTACCTACCGATTTTGGACTTTCAGAGTTGCACTAGTACAGTACAGTACTGTACTGTACAGTATCCTGTACGAGTGCTGTGTTCTGCCCGGTTTCTCGCTGTGATGCCAGACTTGGGACAAGGTCAAAGCACAGTGTTCCTGAATGATATTATTACCTTGGCTTTCATGACATTGCGCTGTCCGCTCTGTTGCCGCGGGGACTGGAATCACTTCTGTACTCGAGTACTCGTACACTACCGTACGAGTACTTGTATAATACACTAGGGGTATTCAAAGTTAAAAATCTTGTAAATTTGTAGCTTACTTTCTTGTTTCATGTAAGCTTGGCACATCCAAAAATGGTTAACTTACCATTACTTTAATCTACCATACCATACTTTTTTTTCTGGTAGATGTGGAGGTCTGGAGGTCGGTAACAAGTAAAAGTTAGTAGAAGTAACAGAATACCCAGAGATTATGTGAGCAGGGTGGGGAAAAAAAAATAAAAAGAGTAGATGGAAGAAAAACAAGCGACTCATGAACAACATTCAGGGAAAAATGCCGCACACTTCTGAAAAAGCAAGAATCATCCATCAACTTCATGATATTTGGTTATCTAATACTATTATTTAATACTTATTTGATGATAGCAATGACCTATCACTCTTTTTTAAACTTCTTAAACCTTTGACTGCCGAGCAACTAAGAACCCCAAGAGACTCCAACCTTCAGCTTTATTCAGTCTTACTGAATAACATAGCTATCCTAAGTTTCAATGAAGACAACCTACCAGAATCATGGTTTGGAGGAAATAAGGAAGGATTAGGGGAGGATGAGATGGAGGTTATTGAGCTTCTTGGGCTTGGAGGACCAATGATATGGTATTTCATGCCACGAGAGCCTATACCCAGTAGTGAGTTTATGTTCAATCATCACGTATGTAATAAATAATTTAAAAATTGATTTTTGTATATCTGAGAAGTGAAATTGAAGTTAATATACATTAGATTTTTACAATGTCAGATGATAGATTCATGGCATTCTTTCAAATGAAACACAACTCGTTCAATCAGCTCCTTTTACGTATTCACAACGATCCAATTTTCCAAAATAAATCCTGAAATCCACAAGCCTCGCCTGCAATTCAGCTAGCTACCACTTTGTATTTCTTGGGTTTTAATGGGATATCAACAGTCCGGGGAGCGGCTCAGCTGGGTATCGGCGAAGGAACAACAAAGTTATACTGTAATCGGATAATTTCAGCTTTAGTACGCTTACTTCCACAATTTGTAAAATGGCCGGAGGCTGGAAGCAGAGATTTTTGGGATATGAGAAGTAGGATTGAGAGGGAGACTGGATTTCCAGGGTGTATAGGCTTCTTGGATGGTACGGATATGGTACTACGATATGGGCCCTCATATCATGGGGAAACATATTTCAACAGAAAAAAACAATACGTATTAAATGTACAAGGTATATGTGATAGTAAGCGGGGATTTACTTTCATTACAAGTGGTTTTCCTGCGTCTGTTGGCGATGCGACGGTTTTTTGTGGGACATTATTTTTTAAAAGACCAAATTTGTTTTTTTCTCGGCCAGAGGAGTACATATTGGCTGACAAGGCTTATCGGATTACACGCCGCTGCATGACACCATATAAGGAGCTACTTGCAAGTCAAGTGGTTGGAGGATTTAGAGATTTTAACCTACAGTTAGCAGAGGCTCAAGTTAAGATTGAGCATGCTTTTGGTGTTTTAAAAAAGAGGTGGTCTTCTTTATGGGAGATCCCAATTAGAATATCTAATTCTAATAATCATGTATGAGTTGTGGCATGGATATTAGCTTGTATGGTGTTGCATAATTTCCTTTGTGATATGGAGAATGATAGGCAATGGTTGCCCACGGAGGGGATGGAACAGGATTATAGGATGGAAAATAATGAAGATTTGGAGGATGAAATATTAGGGGTAGAAGCTGAACGGCAGGCTGGGACAGAATGGAGAAACAGAATGCGAGAATATTTTGTAAACAGAGTATAATCAAAAGCTTCAAGTTATATAATAAGACCAAAATTTGATTTACAAAAACAAGTGCAATAACTAAAAGCAAAACATACAATAATTACTTAGAATTCAAACAAAAATACAAAAATAAAACTTTTACATGTACCAAAAACCTAGACTCCTACTCTGCATGTTCAAAATTTAATTCTTCAAACTCTTCCATATTGTTGGTATTTCTTTTACC